AAAATAGTGTTAAAGCTCTTTTTTATGTATGTTTGTAAACAAAACCAGCGCGAAATTAGAGGATCTACACATGATCTCATGACCTTATAAATGTTTATGTCATGGTGCTTTTTGAGGTTGCAATGTCTTAGAAAAAATATACAGCAGGAATAAACACAGTGAGGACGGAGGGCGCAATAGTAGGTGGAGTGAAGAGAAATGAGAAAGTGGAGGCGGAGAAAGGGAGAAATTACAGAAAGGTGAAGAAGAGAGTAGCGCGTAGCGCTGCGAGAGAGAGAGAGAGATGGCACGTAGAGAAAATAGCGAGGAGAGGAGAGAGGCATCAAGCAAGAGGAGAAGCTAGCGACGAGGAGAAAACAGTACCAGCAAAGAGAATGACCTAAATAGATAACTACTGTAGCAACGGACCATTCGACCCATTTGCCTCGCCTTGCTAACGTTAATCTTCCTGCTCTTGATTCCCTTACTTACATTTCTGTCTCCCTCACTTCCTTCCTGTTCCATGGCTCTCTGCGTTGTTGCTTTTGTTATTTAATAGAACGCAGCTTGGATTTTTTCAATTGGAGGAGGAGGGAGACGGAGAGAGGGGGAGGGGAGGAAGGTGTGAAAGGAAACGAGGCATTTTTCTCATGTTCCTTCACAACTATGGCTTGTTATTTCTCAGTAATTCCCTTGTTTACAATTTTCACTCCTTATTTTCATCTAATTTTCAATCTCTCTATCTACCTTTTATTTATCTGCTTATCTATTTTCATTTTGTTTATCTATTTATATTTTGTATTTCATGGAACGAAGCTAGGGTTTTTCTTTTTTCCGTGTTGAGGAGATGGAGGGGAGGGGGGGAAGATGCAGTTTTTGTGTTTTCAATCGCAACCTTGACCATTATTTCTTTGTCTTTTTCTCTTGTAATCATTCATTTTCATATACAATCTTCTCACTTCCGTTCAAATGTCAGAAACAGTATAAAATAACGCCTAGATAACCCTACAACCAACGAAACAAGACTGAATCCAAGTGCTAGGAAACGAAATGTCCAACGATTTGACACGAAACATTTCGAAATAGCCAGAAAGCTGAACGACACAGACAGCAGTCGCCAGGGAACAGTAAACTTTCTTTTATAAACTATTGTCCTGGGTTAGAGAACAACGTTGCAAAAGTCTCAGTATGCGCACACTAGAGAGCAGCATTGCAAAAGACGCTATTGCATATTTTATTTCAGGTTATCGAGATCTTTCTCATTGCATAGTCATTTGTATAGTATGTAGTCTGTCTCCGAATAACTCATTTGATTTGCGTAATATATTGAGGAGAGAAGGAGGAAAAATAATGATGATGGTATTTTTACGTAGTCATGGTAACGCTGGTGATAATAATAATTGTGTACTAGGTATTGAAAAGCAACAACAAAAACACAAAGATGATATCAATAGTTATCTATCAACTATAGGCTTATACCGAGAATGATATTAGCAATGGCATTTATTTATCATTGTGAATGTTTTTATATATATATTATTATTCTATATCATTATCATCGCCAATATCATTATCATCATTTCATCATTACTATCCTTATTATTATCATTATCAGTAGTATAGTAGCAGAACTATTATCATTATCATTATGATATACTAATACTGTTCATTATTTATGATGAATGTCACTATTACTTAGGTTTAATGATTAAAGACTATGAGGATATCGAAGAAAGTAGAGTAACGGTCCTTAGAACAGCCGCAGTATGTCAATAACAATATATTGTTAATTTATATTAAGACAACAGTGCTATTGATAATCGAGTGAATAAAAGCTATAAGACATCATCAGAACAAGAATTAACAATAAGACAGCGATGGGGATTATGATGATATCATACAATTGTGCTGTTAACAAGACAGCAATGAAAATAACAAAATCACAGCAATATTGGTAATAAGAATACCACTAGTTGCAAGTAGTATCAATAACAAATGCGGTGATAATGATATTAAATAAAGATAATACTGGCTGATGTGATAATGGTACCAGTGGCAGTAATGATAAAAGATAATAAGGACAATAATAACGGAATATACTATTACTATTAGTAATGATAATAATAACTATAGCAAAATGTTAATAATATTGTCAAGTTGGACGATTCAGTGACATATAGTGAATAATTTACAGAAATATAAATTGTTTACTGCCATTACAAGCATTTAATATAAGAACTAAGTTCTAAATACGACCAGAAAATGATTGTTCCTTCCATATGGTACATAGCTCAACTAAGTGGACTGAAATAAATAAATAAAATGCTAAAGAAAGGCCCTAAATGGAAAAGACTTAATAACAGTTATAAAGGAACCGATAATCATCGCCATTCATCTAGAAAAAAGGGGGGGGGGGCATAAGTGAGAAATAACACAGGGATAGAAAGTCGTACAGGGTTTTGTTATTAGAGGAACTGAAGGAAGAAGTAATGGCGAAAGCACTATGAATTATGGGAACGTGAGAACACAGGGGTGGCGTTCGAAGGGTCTGTTTGAAATAGACCATGAATTAGATGGAAATATCTCAAAGGATACACTTCTGGAGCTCAAGATGGGGAAACACTGTTGAACACAGCATCGAGAGCGAATGGCCAGAGGAGCTCACAGATGAGATGAGGAGACTGGGCGATAGACAGGAAAACTTGCAAAGCGAGGACGAGGGGCTGAAAGAAAATTTCCAACGAGAGGCACCTGGATCTTCACTAAATAGCTGATCTATCGAAATGGTTGGTCAGTCGGGAGATATTCTAGAATTGCTGGCAGCTAGTAGGGCAACTCTTTGTTTGAAGAAAACTCGCAAAGGTAATGCAGCAGAACTAATGGTCAATTTCATGCCTATCATTGTGAGAGAGCTCTTGTCACCTACATGAAGGAAACAGATCTATTTTCATCAGAGCA